ATCAGGAAGCCGGGCAACATCATTACCCTCCGCCCAGCTTCCTGATTGCCCGGGAAGCCGGCTCCATGCCCGCGGACGCACCAGTATCGGTGAGTCCCGAAAGCAAAATATCGGTACTTGATACCTAAAAACCGGTATCGGTGCATCCCTTATGGAGACCCATTCATCCTAAACTTGCAAACAAAATGGAGATGGGCAAATTGATGGTCACCTCAGGTCATGTGATGGTAGGTTCTCCTGGTTTAAGTAGAACCAGATTAGAACAATCTCATCCGCCTTTCTGTTTCCACAGCCGGAATGCGTGGTGATTCCAACCTATGCCGCAGAGACTAAACCGGCTCCACATCCAGTGCCGCCACCTACTCACCCCCTTCTTCCACTTCCCGACATCATGCCTCGCAGTGTCTACAAACGTCATATGAGCACCACAGACATCAGCTACCCCTACCCAGCCCGGCCTCGGCAAAGTGTCTGTATCTCCTCTGACCTCCCACGGTACCGCCGCTCTTCCCTAAAAGATCAGGGATTTGTCAATGGACGCTGGTACCCCCGCCATGCCGTAAGCGTTCCCGACATCACTCGTGGACCTCGCTACATCAACATGCCGCCGCGCAGGCTCTTTTCTGCCCCAGCAACAGGGCCTGACAGGACACCAAAACAACGGTGCAAGCTAATAGAAGCCGAGCTTCACCAAGGCAAGGCCGCCACGAGGAAGGAACGTCAAAGATACGTGGCAAAGGACGGCAAGTGTCAAGTCAACTTGGGACGCATCCAGGAGAAGGCGCGCTTCCTGTCGGACATCTTCACCACCATCGTTGATCTCAAATACCGCTGGTTCCTCTTCCTCTTCATGATGTGCTATATCGTGACGTGGCTGATCTTTGCCACCATCTACTACCTAGATGCCTTTTGGCGGCACGATTTGCTCCACTTCGAAAACGACGACTGGAACCCGTGCTTTCAGAACGTCAACAACTTTCTATCGGCTCTGCTTTTCTCCGTGGAGACCCAACGTACCATCGGATACGGATCCCGCATGGTGACGGCCAACTGCCAAGAAGGGGTCTACCTGATCATGGCCCAGTCCATTGTGGGCTCCATGATTGACGCTCTCATGGTGGGCTGCATGTTCGTCAAAATTTCCCGCCCTAAGAAGAGAGCCCAGACGCTGATCTTCAGCCGGAACTGCGTAGTGTGCCCGCGGGATGAGCGCCTAGGCTTGATGTTCCGCATCGGCGACCTGCGAGACAGCCACATGGTGGACGCCAAAATCAGAGCAAAGCTCATTAAGTCGCGCCAGACGTACGAAGGGGAGTTCCTTCCCCTGGAACAGTCAGAAATAAACCTCGGCTATGAGACCGGGGAAGACCGATTATTCCTGGTGGAGCCGCAAGTCATCTGTCACGTGATTGATGCAAACAGCCCTTTTTACGAGATGGGACCACAGGAACTCCTGCGAGAGCAGTTTGAGATCATCGTCATTCTGGAAGGAATTGTAGAAGCCACCGGTGAGTCGGCTGTACGGGGGCGCGCGCGGTGGTGGTTTGGTATGCCATTGTTACAAAATTCATAAAAATGAAGTCAGCCCTCCAGCTGTGGTGGAACTACGAATCCCATGAGGCTTTGCAAGACTCTCACAACCACAGACATGACGCCCGGAGAGAGATGCTTCATGGGATTTGTAGTTTCACCATAGCTGGAGGGGTGGAGTTTGCGAGTTGGGAAAGTACATTTTAAAAGGGAAGGTGCAGTTTTAATGAATGCCACCATAATGATAACAACCTCATCCACCAAATGTGTTCCACGTTAGGTGAATCAGGACCAACATATGAGATTAAACACTGCATGGTAGGGATGCACCGATACTAGTATTGGTGCCGATATTACGGTGAGTACAAGTATGCTCCGATGTCTAGCCCGATACTTGAGCTTCCGGTATCAGGAAGCTGGGCAGCGAGTCATTACATGTTGCCCAGCTTCCTGATTGGCCAGGTAGCCGGCTCCATGCTCCCTCGTCACTTATGACGAGGGAGCATGGAGCCGGCTTCCCG